CAAAACGGTACTCCGGGCCGTGTTTCTGCACTGTGTAATACCCTCCTGCTAAATCACGGGGTACCTCTTTTTAGTCAGGAACCAAGTTGTCGAATCGACCTCCTCTTCCATGACATGGCCAGGGCCCTCCATTCTCTCGGTTCCCCCAGTACCCTTTCGTCGTAGCTCCAGACCCCCGGCTTGACTGTTCCAGCAATTGCCATCCTGCCTACTGACATATTTGATTTCCCGTTGCAACCTGATGTTTGACTTGTTTCTTGTCCCTGCTTTCCTTCTGAGACAGTTAGACTCGGTGTCGTAGGGGCTATGGGGGGGGATTGTTGTAGACATGACACCAGTTGCATCGGACATCCTATTTCTTGACATCTATAATCTTTTGTTGGCCTCTGAGGCCTATAGGAGCTCCTCCGATAGAAGTTGATGGCCCTCAGAACAAGAAGGTCTTCATATCCCTCACGCTCGGTGTCTCATCCTGTTGGGGCATAACAAAGCAATATCAGAACGCAGCAACATAATGCGTCAATAAGCCCGATGACATCTTTAGGAGCGCATAGTCCCTCGACTTAGAATTCATTCCATGAAGGAATACATAACTCGATCCCAGTGTCGCAAACTCCTCGCGAGAGCTGAAGTATCGTCGATACTTATTGATAAATATCTTGTCAGATTGTGCTAGGGGCAGCTCAGCTGGCTCTCTGACCACTTCCCGCTTGTTCAAAGAATCTCAAGTTGTATGACATAGAATCAAGAGCTATAAATAGCCCAAGCATGTTATGAGTTAATCCCATCACTGCATGTGAAACTACACTGAAGCCTTCCCGCCCTTCTTGTTTGTTTCCGTGTCCTGGCAATGATTCTGCTAACAGCTGTCACTTGGTAAAATGAAGTGGTCCTTGTCTATATGACAAGGAGGCCTGATCTCGAACTATGCGCGATCCAGAATTAGCGATTGACGATTGAGTGGTGGGCTCAGTCATAGCCATAGTTCCGAAATGGTGGGTTCCCAAACCGGCAGCTGGCTACCGAGCTTGGGTTTAGTTGCTAGAGGACAAGTCGTTATCAGGGCTATGCTTTTCGTTTAGTATGTGGTAGTCTTGGGTACCGGAGCTCTCGCAGGCTTCTTGCTCACGTGCCGAAAGTGCATACTTGTAGTATCTCAGAAACAAACGAAGATGAGAGCGGGCATCGCTAGAGTAGCCCCATTGAACCAAAATAATTGATTGTCCTGTAAAATGGGAGTTCCTCAGCCCAAGTACACTGCCGCTTCTCAAGCTTAAAATCATGCCGCCCCGCTATGATATCGGATACCAATCCCAAGGACACGGAACCGCTGGGGCATCTCGGCTGATCAGTATCTTGCTTGAGCCTTGGGTCATATGTGGCAACAGCGAACGTTGCACAGTGATGGTACACACCCAAGGTATGGATCAGAGGCGCTCTGGTGAGTAACGAGGACAGTGTCTCTTGTTTGCCATTAGAAATCCCAGTCTCGTGTTTTTTTGCGAAATTATCAAAGGAAAAATGAAGCACAAAGCTAATAAAACTGTTTCATATTCAGCTCTTACCAAATGAGACGTCGTAAAGTGCTTGATTCCATCTTTAGGAAACCCTCTTGTCACGAGGAGCCCTATCCATGCGTGCTGCCCGTACATAATGCAACGGAAGTATTGCCGGGTTCGCCTAACACTGGGTCAACGTCTCTTAGATTGGCAGGTCGATGTTGTATGCCATATTACCGCAATTCGCCGAGAAGCCGTGTAAAGTATCGCCAGACTCTTTATCAACAAGTCAACAGACAATGATCAAGCTTTCGAATTTTACAGCCATAAGACAGTAAACACGAGTATTGCGAAGCGTGTCATGGATTCCGTTGCAGCTCAACGTCGGGGGACTTGCTTTAGACACCTGTGACGAACTTCTGGAATGTCACACCATAATTCTTGCGGCGAGTGTTTGGAGTCAAGGTGGGCCGGCCGATGGGGCTTCGTAGAAAGCTTCCAGAAGCCTGTCAACCGACGGAACTCCACATCACAAAGCTCTATGCACGATTCTTTCCCATGGTGTCAATGGCCACATGCGGTAATAGAACACTGTGCGTGAGACTTGAAGGCGTGCGTGTCATCTCTTGCAATATCTCCATCAGTATGTATACTCCTTCTCGTCCTAGCTCCACTTGACCGGGCAATGTTGTAAGCGTCGTCCTGTGGAGAGGTTGATGGATTGGGATGAACTGCCAACTCCCGTGCTGCAAGTTCAGGGGTATCGCTGCCACATCCGAGTTAGCGTGACCAGCTACACGTTGTGGCGGTTTGCGCATTGCGGTAGCGCCGCATAAAAGCCCCAGAACTTCGGTGTTCCTGCATTAGCCAAGTTCCAAACGCCATTGACATTTGAAACAGGGGTCGTTTACTCCGTACTGCTTGTTCCAGCCTTCGTCAACCACTAATAAGCATCCCTATAGCGCATCACCATGGATGATGACCTTTCCCAATGTCGGGTTGTCCCAGTTGATCGGTTTAGGTGCTCCCAAGCCAACCAAGGCATACTGGATGGATCATGTGACAATTCCAGCCTGCAAATGTCAGCTGAAAGGATTCTGACCAACACTGGCAACCATGTGGCAGCTAGGTAGCTTAGCTTCCGGCCATTTCGATCCCTTCCTCTTAGACATCTTTGGAAGCGAACAAATATCATGCGCCGTAGGCAACCCGCCTGGTTTGAGATGTGCCCTGTTTCCGGTCCTTTTTTTGATCCGCCTCAGATTCGTTAAAGCAACCCTGGCTCAGGAGCTTGTTTGCCATGCGACTGTGTACAAATGATGATGAGGCGAGACCACCACACATGTGCGAACATGACTGTGGCTCATGATGAAGCCGTAATCGTATGCTCAGACCAACTCGATGCCACAAGGAATGGTGCTATCGATTCATCCCATCGCACTATCACAACTGGCCTTGTCGAGCACGGCAGCTGCTTGTAGATCGGACTGCCACGTCTAAGCCAGTGACATCTGGTTCGAGACTATTGCAGCTAGTCAAGGAGCAAATGTCACCAGTATCTCAGTTTGATGCTGTTGCTGATACTTAGTACGTATCTGCCGGCAACGGATATGAGATTAGGACCCTTCGTGGCTGCATGTGTGGTGGGGCAGTATCAATATCCACCTATCGGATCCAAGGGATTTTCGCTTCGAAGACCACGCTAAACTGAATGATCGCTTCTTACCTTCCAGAAGCCTCAACGAACAGTTTTGCAGATCACAATTGGTCTCTTGCTTGTTGAGAAGACACCCCGACATGAGCTTGCGTAGAACACGCTGACACGCCATGTTAGGCAGAGGTCTTCAGTGCAAACTTGGGGGGTTTTCCTTTCTTGATCAAGCCTTCCATACCAAGGCTGAGTATATATCCGCAGTGCTACCCAAATATGCACCACAACACTCTGCCGATGTGGCCAGCCTTGGTGGCTGTCCATTTTCAACCTAGAGCTCTGTTGTCAGTTCAGACATCTCTGCTTGATTGAATCGTGTTCGTTGAGTTGATAGTATTCGTGTCACCGGGGAACCGCTTCCGCAATTGTAGTGCGTCCGTGCCGGATCCGCCAGGTAATTTCAAAATTTCGTCCCAAACGTTCATGGTTCCTGGGCTGTTTGTGTGGAGACATAAGAGGCCTCTCTTGACTAGACAAGGTAGGCAAGCTTCTGGAAGACCGATCTATGGGGCCAACGAGGAGTGTTTGTTGTGGTGTGTGTCGTTCGTGCCGGGTATGCTCCCCGAACGATAGACCAAGCAAGCCACGAGTCAAGCTTCTGGTGGGATGGATGCAAAGATCCATCGCCTTCCCACCGCGCTCCTCAATGTTGATCTTTATCGAAATAGTAGCTATTGTGCCCAACCGCACCAGCTCTTGCGTACAGGTCTGAAAGGGTCCCTGATCATGTGCCTCATCTCAGCCATGAGTCGTAGTCGTCTGGTTATTGATTGGAAAAAGCCAGAGCCTTAATAAACTGACTCGAACAGGCTGACCCTTAATACTCTATCATGGCGTCTTCTCAGTCTGGGGATGCATTGCGCGCCGCGACGTCTCCAGAACAACCGTCAGGCAGTTACTTCAGCCGCTTGATCGAGTGATGGTATACCGGGTAAGTGTCCGTGGTAGCTCAGGTAACGCAGAGCCAACTATTGCAATTGGTAGTTTTTTTTCTTTCATCTGAAATGGAGTAATATGCAAGGTCGCCTGTTGTTTATGATACCTTGAAATCTGTCTGTAGTTGTAAGGTAAGGTATACTTGGTGACCGAAGGAAGGTGAGCGGCGTCTAGTTGTTTAGGGTAGCTCGAATTTGACTTGATTATTTTGAACAGTCCTCTCCACTACCTACCTTGGATTTGATATTAATCGTTTACTTCCTGTACTATCAACTTGATTGATTTGAAGCTTTGAGTCTCCCGCATGGAAATCAGTACTTTGTTTCCCGGTGTACATGCCCTGTTTATTCTGGTCATTCGAAAGGATGTGCCAAGACAGTTGCGCCTGTAACAAGAGAGCAGGGCTAATTCAAAACACAGAAACAATTATTTGCAATTCAGTTTGCCTTGTCCAAGGGCGCGATTTCTTTTAAAATTACGCACCACTACATAGTAGCGATACAAAGGGTGTTGCATGAAACTGTGAAAACGAAGACATCAGTGTTGACGGAGAGGTTCATAAATGGCACACGATAGGTTAGTACCTTGAGCCAGTCGGGAGACAGCGAAACTTCACTATATTCCTAGGACGTAGGCAAGGTCAGGCCCGGGTGACTTATTGAAGGGCCCCAAATCAGGCAAGCTACTATTCCACAAGCCACAACTCCAGCCTCACCTCCACCCCGCCATCGCTGACGCAGCTTGAACGTCCACCAAAGCCGACACCGATATAGCTTCCAGTTAATACAGGAATACTGCAATACCTCGAGTCGCACGTAAAACCACCAGAACGATTGATAATAACGAATACAAAGATGTCAATTATCCAGCAGCATACGAGCGCGACGCTCGGTGACGCATGGCGCACCATCAACATTGACGCCCTGAACGAAGACTCCAGCGTCAACTTCGACACCTCGACTCTGCATCCCCCACAGCCCGAGATCGACGAGGCGGAAGTGCGCCAGCTTTCTGGGCAGATCAGGCAGCTTCTGAGAGGCGGTGATGCGGAGGGAGCTTTGAGGGGCAGCTTGGAGACCCCAGTATACAACGGAACGGATGCAGCCAAGGTATGTCAACAGAGAGTTGAGATGAGGCGACGTATATTGGCCCTGCACTTGTGGGATCTAACACGACGTTTCTTCTTAGGATGCTCATCTGCACACTATCATCGAGGTCCTCCAGTCGATTAAGGCAAGCGATATGTCACCCTTACTGAAGAGCATCTACGGATCTGAGGGAGGCCCTGAGTGCCTGGATGTCCTGATGAAGTATATGTACGTTTGATGATGGAACGGATGACAAGTGCGCAAACCTAACGATGTAATAGCTACAAAGGAATGGCTACGGTTCACCCTGGAACAGCTTCGCGATCACCAAACAAGGTTACACCTCAATCGACGGGAGGTTTCAGCCAGATCGCCGGGCGGCCTGGCTCGAATGAGCCCGCCACTGCAGCCATGAGTGTGCTCCTGAGCTGGCACGAGAAGGTCGTTGAGGTCGCTGGTCTGGGATGCATCGGCCGAACAATGACCGATTGGCGAAGGGTTTAGGGCACAGAGACGTGTTAGCGATGATGAGCGGTCAAGAATACATAGAATCATGAACCCAATTCATAACCCGCAGAGTGAACCTCCGTCCGCGAAACATAGCTCTGATGTTACATTATTTACACTATACAATCATCTGCCCTCTACTTTTGCTCCAAGACATGTTTCAAGTTTAGGTCACCACTTCCTCTGGCCAGAGGTTGTGGCTGGTTTTCACCTTCGCGCCATCCGATCATATATATGATTCGGAAAGTTGCGGGAATAGATCCATCTGGGTTACCGTGAAGTTCCTTATAGATAGCATCGCCAGCGAGGAGAACATCACGGGAAATGGCACCCATCTCTCTTCCGAGGACAGCATTACCCTCGCCCATGGCCTGAAGATCCTGCATCAAAGCAAATGTGTCAGGGTAATCAACGATGATATCATCGATGTCGACAGTCAGCATCTTGAAGCCAGCTTTTTGAAGCAGACCACCTATATCCTTGACATCAGCCAAAGGAGAGACACGAGGAGACATGCCACCTCGTCTTTCTGTCTCTGCCAGCTGCAGTGATGTTCTCAACTCGAATAATGTGTCTCCACCAAGCATAGCACCGATGAAAGGAGAGTCAGGTTTGAGGACATTGTTGATCTGAGTGAGGATACCGGGTAGATCGTTGATCCAATGGAGACTCAATGAGCTCATCACTAGGTCAAAAGAAGCAGGCTCGAAAGGGATCGTTTCTTCGTCGTCCACAACCGTTCGCGTGATGCTAAGTTTATTGTTGAACTCATGATCAGCATCACGGTGAAGCAGTGAATGAGACGAATCAACAGCAACCAATTCGTCAATACGAGTAGCCAGTGGTGGTGACTCAGGTGTGTTAGGGTCAGGGTCAGGATTCTCCTGGACCAAAGCTCGTGCGATGTTGCATGAATTTGCGCCGAGATCCAACACTCGAGGAAATCTGCGTTTGATGTCCTATTGGTATGTGAGAAGCGAGTGTTGCTCCAGGAACATGGTTACTTACTAGAAGTCTTTCTGATACTCGAATTGCAACCTCATCCTTGAGGTAATCAGCTTCCCGGCTTTGTTCAGAGTTGACTCCAGCTCGCTCCTTTTGTAACCATTTTGTGTGGCGATTGAAAACTTGGAAACGAGGTGCTCCAGCAGCTTGAACAGCATAAAACCGTTGATTTGAGATGTGACGATATAGATTGGCTGGCTGTGACAAAGTCCGTAGACTACAGCGCATTGCCAATCGTGAAACCGCGCAAGACGGCATTGCGAACTATATTCAATCAAGCTATCTTTGAGCTTGAAAAGGAATATGAAGTTTGTTTATGTAGAATAACGATAGCCCTCGAATATTGATGCAATTGAAGTCATGATGAATTTGATAGCTCCATGGAAGCAATCTGGCACTCTACTGGCTGCAATGTTAAAGTGCACGAAGCACGGACCATGCGCAACCATGAGCGGTTAAACCCTTTCTGGCCATTATTGCACCCGTAGGAGGCAGGAGGCAGGAGGCTTCTCAGAGGCTACAAGTTACTGGCCTCCACTGGTTATGGGATGACAGATGAACACGCTTCTCACCTCTTCCACCAATTTTGCTATTGATAAACATATCTTCCTTTTCTTCTTGTGCCCTTTTGTGTCACTCGCTGTAGGGACTCTCTAGTGCTCTCTCATCACCGTCACGCTTACAATACAATCCCCTCTCGCCTGTCGTAGCCCTTGTCATTCCCCGACTCATCCGTTCCCTAGCCCACGGGCCTCTTCCGCAACTCCTAACTAAACCATTAGGCCGCACCAACAGAGCACCGCCCACCACCGCATCTCCATCCGCATCTTCAGTCTAGCTCGCCCCTCCAGCGAGCAATCTCCCATCACATCGACATACAATCGATGTCTGGCGCGTGAGCCGTCTGGACAATTCGAGCCGACTATGCGATTCTTGCGATAAGGCGCGACCATACTCTGTCTTGGAGATATTTTGACATCACCTTCCACCGTACGAATCTATCTAAGCCGAATCCCCCATTTCGTTCCAAAAATCAGGGGTCTTCAACGACTTGACCGCACGAATACCTCCGCAGACCACCGCCCAAAATGTCGAGCTCAGGCACAGGCTTTCTCGGCCGCTCGAGTAGCAGCAATGCTAATATGCGTGGACTGGTTCAGTTCATTGCTGATCTCAGAAATGCGAGAGCGCGTGAACTCGAGGAAAAGCGAATCAATAAGGAGCTGGCCAATATTCGACAGAAGTTCAAGGACGGCAGTCTCAGCGGTTATCACAAGAAGAAATATGTCTGCAAGTTGCTCTATATTTACATACTGGGCTGGAATGTCGATTTTGGACACCTCGAGGCTGTGAATTTGATCTCAGCAAACAAATACTCAGAGAAGCAGATAGGTTATCTGGCCATGACACTCTTTCTCCATGAAAAGCACGAGCTTCTGCACCTTGTCGTCAACAGCATCCGCAAGGACCTACTCGACCATAATGAGCTTTTCAATTGTCTTGCTCTTCATGCGATTGCCAATGTTGGAAGTCGAGAGATGGGCGAGGCCTTGAATGGAGAGGTTCATAGACTCCTGATTTCGCCGTATGCGCTCATATCCCTTTAGTGCGATGGAACCACACTGACCGCTGTTACGCAGTACTTCAAAATCGTTCGTCAAGAAGAAGGCCGCTCTGACGCTCCTCCGATTATACCGCAAGCACCCAGATATCGTATCGCCGCAATGGGCGGAGCGCATTATCCACCTTATGGATGACTCTGACCTCGGCGTTGCACTTTCTGTCACATCACTGGTCATGACATTAGCTCAAGATAATCTAGAGCAATACAAGGGAGCGTATGCCAAAGCAGCAGCTCGTCTGAAGCGAATTCTTATCGACGGCGAATATACGACCGATTACCTTTACTACAAAGTCCCCTGCCCCTGGCTGCAGATCAAATTGCTTCGTCTTCTGCAGTACTTTCCACCTGCAGGTAAGTGTGGCAGCGCAGTTACACAGGAAGCAGTTACTGACACAATGTCCAGAGGATACTCATGTTCGGGAAATGATTCGCGAGTCCCTGCAAAAGATCCTGAACCTAGCCATGGAGACCAATAAGAACGTTCAACAGAACAACGCTCAAAATGCCGTGCTCTTTGAAGCCATCAACCTCATCATCCACCTAGACACTGAGCATGGTCTGATGAAGCAAATTTCAACGAGGCTGGGCAAATTTATCCAGAGCCGGGAGACCAATGTCAGATATCTGGGCTTGGAAGCTATGACACATCTGGCTGCACGCGCTGAAACTCTGGACCCCATTAAGCAACACCAGGAAATCATTCTTGGCTCGCTCAAAGATCGAGATATCAGTGTTCGTCGTAAGGGTCTGGACTTGCTCTACAGCATGTGTGACGCCACAAATGCTCAAGTCATCGTTGGTGAGCTACTGCACTACCTACAGAATGCCGACTTTGCTATCCGAGAAGAAATGGTCCTTAAGATTGCCATTCTTACGGAAAAGTACGCTACTGATGTGCAGTGGTACGTCGATATCTCCCTCAGACTTATCGCCATGGCTGGAGACCATGTCAGCGATGAGGTATGGCAGCGAGTCATTCAAATCGTGACGAACAACGAGGAGCTACAGGTTTACGCAGCTCAAAATGCGCTACAATATGTCAAGGGCGACCACTGCCACGAGACTCTGGTCAAAATTGGCGCCTATATATTGGGAGAGTTTGGTCATTTGGTTGCTGACCAGCCTCGCTGTAGCCCTATTGAGCAGTTTATGGCTCTTCAGGGCAAGCTGACGGCATGCTCTTCGAGTACCCGTGCCATGATTCTCTCATGCTTTGTCAAATATGTCAACTTGTTCCCGGAAATCAAGCCTCAGCTTATCCATGTGTTTGAGTTTCACAGCCACAATCTGGACTCCGAGCTTCAGCAGAGAGCTTGCGAATACTTGACTCTTGTGAATATGCCAACGGATGACCTCCTCCGAACAGTTTGCGACGAGATGCCTCCTTTCCCTGAACGGCAGTCTGCACTTCTCTCGAGACTACACCAGAAACATGCTAATACGAGTGACCGACGGACCTGGGTAGTGGGAGGAAAGGATGCCAACGCGGACGCTCGGGAACTCAGCATGGGTACTGGAGCACTCAAGAGGACTTTCAGCTCGAATGTCCCACTGAACGGCAAACCAAATGGCCAGGCTGCAACTGGTACAAATGGTCATGGCAATGGAGTTGCCGATTTGGCTGGGCTTGACCTCAACGCACCCACACCATCTGAGCCAAAGATGCTCAAGGCCCCTAACTTGGCCAGTGCAGCTCATTTGTCACCCGGATGGGAGCAAGGATTCAACAGACTTCTTGTTAGATCAGATGGCGTTCTATACGAAGATGGCCAGTTACAAATTGGTGTTCGATCGGAATATCGTGGCCAGATGGCTTGCTTGATCACATATTTTAAGAACAAGACACCAGCAACTATCAGTTCCTTCACAACGACATTGGATCTAGACGAGAATGAGAAGGAGAACCTTACCTGGGACGTCAAAAACCTCCCTGATAGTACCATTGTGCAAGGTGGGCAGTCCCAGCAAGTTGTTATGTTCGAAGCAAAGAAGATTTTCGAGAAGAGTCCGACTGTACGCATCAGTTACCTGGCAGGTGCACTACAGGCACTTACTCTGAAGCTTCCCGTGTCTATACACAAATTCATGGACCCGGCAGAGTTGACTGCTGAGGACTTTTTCAAGAGATGGAAGCAGATTGGAGGTGCCCCCCGGGAGGCGCAGGCCATTTTCGGAGTCAGTGGTAAGGGCGACAGAGAAATCACAGAGAGCTTCGTTACAAAGACAGTCGAGGGCTTCAGATGGCGTGTGCTGGACATGGTTGACCCTAACCCCAAGAACGTTGTTGGTGCGAGCGTGCTCCACACATCTCAAGGAGGCAAGTTTGGTTGTCTTATGAGATTGGAACCAAACTACGGACAACAGGTAGGCGCAATCATCCCGCTTCAGATATTGCATATTCTAACTGCTCAACAGATGATTCGATTGACTGTCCGTGCCACAGATGATTCCGTGCCAGCGGTCTTGCTGAAGTATATGCAAGAACGCCTTGCTGCAGGAATCTCAACGGGGCCGGATCGATTTGAGCCACCTTCACGGGAGCAGATTTCGGATTCTTTCCGTAATGTGATGGTGACTTGATGGGAGAACATGATGTTTATCTTCTATATATTCGCCGGGCAGGAGTTGTTATAATACCACAGAAGCATATGGGCGTTGGGGAACTAGCATGAAACCGGAGGAAGCGCTCAATTAAAGCCAACCGTTTATTGGCTGAAAAGTTGCCTGCGTCTATCCTCCTTGTATAGTCCCTCTTTACCGCACAAGGCGATGAAAGCTGTGCGGAGTGATCTGATCAAGGAGGATGCAGTTACTACATACCACGATCTCTCATTGTAAATTGAATGAAAATGATGCAAAGAAGAAACACGTAATCAAGCGGTGAAGACGATAGAGCAGGTCAGGCATTAGAGAGCCCCATCAACTTGGCGAAAGTAGGCTTGAATAAGGTTGAATTTTGTGTTAATTCACTGTTTACTCCTTGATCTTTGCATCTGCCTTAGCTGGCCTCTGCCCGAAAATAGTGCTGCCTACACGAACCTCACTGCTTCCCAGGCGAATTGCACCTTCAAAATCCTCACTCATACCCATGCTCAACTCCAGGCTATCCCTATCCAAATTCAGCTCCTTAGCCACAAGATCTAGCTGCTCCTTGAGGGCAACAAAGTCCTCGTTTTCAGTCTCAGCGGTCGTGGCTTTGCTGCGAGCAATAGCCCCGATGGTCATGAGACCGAGAAAACGGAGGCTAGGGCATTTCTCGATGACTTCACGGCATAGAGCAACGGTCTCTTCACCGGGGGCACAGCCAGACTTGGCTTCCTCTCCGGATGTGTTGACTTGCACATGGACACCAATCTTGTCAAGATCAGGCTGTGAAGAAAGAAGATTTGTGCGGGCAGTGTTGAGGAGCTGGGCCTTTTTGGAGGTATCTATGCTTGAGACACAGAAGAGATTTGGGATCTTTCCCAGGGACTTGCAATGGTCTACACATCAGATCAGTATGCGTGGTTCCACGCGTGCAAGTCAGGTCTCTTACTAGACTGGAGACCACCGATAAAATGCCACTGAATAGTTTTCGGGAGCAAAGCTGCTTTTTGAGTCAACTCTTGAGAATAGTTCTCACCAAAGTGAGTATGGGAAGTAGGAGCCTGATGAAGTGCTAGAATGTCATTTACAGGCTTGAGCTTCGAGACAGCAACAAGTCGGACCTGATATAGATGTAAGCCAGGTTATGTTCATTGGTGTTTGAATATGAGAGTGAGAGTGAGTGTGATGCATACATTTCGACCGTCTGCTACGGCAGCAATACGCTCTTTGACGGACTTGAGCTGAGAAACAAGTGCCCGAGCCCTTGAGGGATCAATTCTCATTTCTTCTTGAGAATCACTCATGCTATGAATGTGGTCTTGTAAGTCGGGCTGTTGCTAAGAGAGTGGTGATTGTTGTAAGTGGGCAAAGTGATTTTGGGCGACCGGGTTATCATCGGTTAGGTCATGCATTCAGTGCCAACGACCCAAAGTGGCCACCATAGCTCAGTCAGAAACCATACCCCTTGGGACTTCTAAACCATTTTTATAACGACAAATATTCATGAATTCGAGAGAATAGAGTGAACTCTATACATATGAAGCTTATCGGAGATGGCCACTGATCTGAAAACTGGCCGCCGAAGGGCTACCAGCAGCGCAGCTACAAGACCAGGACACATGAGACGAAAGTCAAGAGCTGTTATCCAGCCAAAGTCAACACATACATCAGATGAATTTCTACAGGACTTCCTAGACCCTACATTTGATCCCGCAACTTTCCTCAACTCAACTCTTCCTCCACTGCAGCAACGCTCTATACCTGGCCGAACCGGAGATGTCGCACCCCTTGCTGAGCTGTCCACGCAAGCTCAGACTCTTATTTCACAACTTAACGCCCAGACTTCACGGCTATCAAATACTCTTACGAATCTTACCGATGACATTCTGAGAAGCGGGAGTCGCCTGGCTTATGAGGTGGAGCTACTACGAGGCGAGACGTTGAGCCTTCAGGAGACTATGAATGAGACTCTTCATGACGACATCAAGAAGTTTGTTCCCGAAGGATTGCGGGAAGCCATTGACGCAAAGAATGCCGCTGCGGCCGCTTCTAAAGAAGATCGGAGTGCGGCACCGTCGACAACTGCTGCAGCTGTCACCAATGATGGAGCCAATCCAGACGACCCTGAGTTCATCAGACAGTTACAAACATTAACTCTGGTGCGAGCACGCCTGGACTCAGTTATCAAGACATTCGGAGATGCTATGGAATTCGTCTTTCCACCATCAGAGATCTCCGTCAGCTCCGGTTTCCTCTCAGTATCAGCACCCGAGCCAGGTTCAGCACAGCAAAGTTCCGAGGAGAAGGGCAAGGAAGTACTCAAGAACATCAGAAACGAGATATCGGATTTACTGAACAAGTCTGACGACCCTGTTCAAGGCATTGAGAAAGCGGCACAAAGAATTGAACAACTCAAGGAGCTTAACCGTGTGTGGAAGGACACAGCAGAGGAGAAGGGACGAAATAAGTTTATAGAGAGTCTTGCCAAGACGGTCGAAGACAAGCATCGGGATCTAATGAAGGAAATGGAGCAGACCAAGGAGAAGACTAAAGTGGAATCACGGTCACGGAAAGGCAGCGTCACTAGAGATGCTGCAGCGACTGTGGTAGAGGATACAAAGGCACCGGGTGGGTTTGGACTGATTAGCCAGTTGCACAAGCTTCGAGGCGGTCTGTGAACCAATGATAGAGACTCATAAGTTGAAAGCTATAAGATCTTTTTGTTTTCACTGAACGTATTGATTGTTCCCTATTGAAGGTTAAGCTCTGTCGCTGACCGTGTAAGCACAGTATCTCGCACTACAGCCGTACAGCCAATCACTCAACTGACTGGGTCGCATGACAAGATCGGCCCGGGGCACTATTTTCTTATACTGCCGTTTGCAGTAGGCGGTGAGGTCACTAACAAGCGCCCCGGCGAGGTCATGCCTCTCTGGGCCTGTGTCTCTCCCAGTTTGAGCCGAGACAATAGAAACACTTCCAGGTTGCTTGCTTTACGTACTTCCACTGCCACATTGTTCTATCATTGCGTTGCGTTGCACTGGCACTGACGCTGGCAATTGTTCGTTTGCCTTGCTCTATTCTCCTTTTATTAGCCAAAAGTACCTAACTTGCTGTGGAGTAGACGGCCTCTCTGCTTTATTGTCTTGGCTATCTCTTTCACTTGCAGTCAGCTCTTTTATCCCAAGTTGCATGGACTCTTTACTCTCCCAACCCTTACAGCCCCAGCCTTGAACCCATAATCACGAAGATAGCACGGGTCTCAACCTTCTGGCATCTTTTCTGAAGCCTGCAGAACCATTTTTGTAAACATCAGACACCACTTACACACAACCGCAACTATTTGCAATGGCCGCCAACGAAGCAGCGGCCCTTGCAAACATGGCCAACCGACCCGACCGACGCTCTCCTGCTCCCGCTTCCCAATCAAAAAGAGATCGCAAGCGACAAGCTCTTATAGAGAGACTCTCTAGCATGACCGATAAGTTCCATCGGGAAAGGGACATGACATATCGTGATCAGCTGCAGAAGATCCAGTTTGACATCAATCTCGTACAGCGCTTCGACCCTTACGATCCGAAGGTCCTTGAGGTCATCTCTGGACTCCAGAAGGAGCACACCAACACACAAGGACCTCCTGTCAACGCCGAAGATGCCCGAAGCTTGCTTGACATGGCTGGTATCCGATTCTCTGACTTCGTTGACGAAGTCGAGGATTTGGTGGAAATTCGTGATTTTCAGCTGGCGCAGTCAAAAGTAAGAAACCCTCACGCCACACGATCAAGTGTCTTGCTAACCATGTATCCAAACAGAATGAATACGACCGACGACGAGAAGAATATAGAAACACTTACGATTACAAGGTTGAGACCGCCAAGCGCGAGCACCGAGCCCTTACCAGCACCCTTCGAGACCGATTGGTCAATACCCTCACCCACAAGAAAAACCGGTTGAACCGCGAGAAAGAGGTTTTGGAGATTAATGATTCCAATGCCTTGCTACTCAACCCCAATCAGTTCAGCTTGACCAATCCTGCGAGCCCCGGTGGTCCTCACGGAAAGCGAGCCACACGTCTGCGCAAGGACGCCGACGATCTGCAGATGTACTCCGACAACAAGAAGCGCAAGCGAAACGCCGGCGATGACGACGGCTCACCTGCCCCGACACGACGAGCCCTCGATAACCACAACACTACACCTCTATGGCAGTCTGAAAAGGCTCGTGCTGCTGCTAAGCAGAACGGACCTATCTACAGCATTGACAAGCTTTTCACCGACAAGGAGCTTTCGCTCAATTATAACACTGCTGCCCTTGCTGCGCACCAGTACATTCTTCGCAATCGTGTTAGCGGCGGCGGCTCTCCCGAAGACAGCGATTCCGGCAACGGTGAAGTCAATGGCGACCAGGACGCCGATTCTCAACCTTCTGCCCCAGCTATGGAACGCTCCGTCTCGCACGCCACCCGCAGCACTCGTGGCGGTAATTTACTTGACGACAAGATTTTAGGTCTCGAGGGCATCACCAATTTCGAAGTTCACAACTTGGATCTCCTCCACGCCCACGAACCACCCAAGATGCCTCCTCCGGTTCCCCAGCAATACCTCAAGCCCTACCCTCGTACAGCAGACCAGAACTTCCCCGTGCCCCTGTCCAATGACGATATCACTTCTGATCTTACGATCATGGGTTTTTTCAAGCAATACGACGCAGCGCACAAACCTGGAGCTCACCTTGATCGCCCAACTGGAATGCGCCGGGTTCTCGCTGCTGTATCAATACCTTACCAGCATTCACGATATGTCGCTTTTACTAGCGCCCCTAGAGAAGACCCTGAATTTGTTCGCGATTCATTGGGTCTACCAGCTCTCAGCAGCCTTCGAGATCAGCCAAGCCCAGCACATGCTGGCGCAGCTACTTCAGTGGCAGCCCTGTCCAGCGCCGCAGTGCCTATGAGTCGCCAGAGCAGTGCCGGCGGAGTTGCCATGAGCCGCCAG